GCCAACCACTGCCGGAACTTTCTTCTGTTAGGCTGCTCTTGAACAGACAAAGCACAGGGTAATTTTTGATAAGAAGGTAACTAGTGGAGAGATTAAGGTTGCCTTTTACACCTAGAATGGTACCTGGCCTGGGGCAGGCATTCAGATCATGATTGTTGAAACATCAGTGAAACTATCTTATTAGTTCCATGATTGAGAGCAGTACTTGGTGTTACCAGTGCATCACTTCTTGTTTCTATGCTAACTAGCCTGCGAGGAGGAGGGGAGTCCAAACAATTTGTCTGCAATTAAAAGACAAAATAATTTAAAAACACCTCCACCATCAAAAAGCCAGCCAACCAGAATTCCAGAGATCTCTAGTCAACAGGTGGCACTTGGAGTCACTCAGATAATGAGAGAAAATTACTTAGGAAAATTTGAAACTTTATACTATGAAGACTTGAAAACAGTGCCCAGAGAAATGTTTATAAAATTTATTAGCATATGCATTGATTTGTGCCTGGGGAAACTGAGGTATTAACGTGAAGCAGAAAGATGTTTAGGAGGGCAGACAGTAAACTAACAGTGCAGGACCCAGCCTGCTCTCCCAGCAATCATTAAGGCCATCTCATTACTCTTTTTATTTTTCTAATCTTATCTCTTAATACAATATAGAACTTGCCATAAACAACTTGCATTACTGTATTATCCATCTGGTTTGTTAAGTGGAGATAATGTCAAGACTCCAAAGGTTATTAGGTAGATTAAGGTCATGTAGAGGAGTGTTTAATACATGTTCTTCCTTTCTTCTCTCTGCCTTTTGAACAAAGGAATCATTGGCGAAGAAAACTTGAATAGACTTGGGCATGATGTGGGAATGAATAGTAGAGAAAGAGTGGGGATGTTTTAAATTATATGTAAAATGTGTTTTTTAATCATTTGTGGATTGAAATTATTATTACTGTTCCAACAGTGCTGCGAATAAGTGGCTAAAATTTGGACAAAAGACTGTTCATAAGTTACTTGCCAAATGGTGGGTTGAAAGAGATTCTTCTCTTAAGAATTGCTTAGCAAGCAAGTCTTCAACTTTGCCTTCGCTTAGCCTACACACTTTGCTTGGATTAAATGTTTAAAAATAAAAAACCCCATCCAGGCAAAAAAATTTCCTTTAACTTTAGAAGAATCAAAAATCCAATGGAGAAGAGTTGCTTTCATGTTCCTATTTCATAGACAGTTTTAAAAAGCCTTTAGTGCCTGGGTGGGGCCCAGTTGCACTCTCCACAAGTACACAGGCTAAAAGTTTAAATTTGTCATCCTCTGGGATTTAAAGTGAAACCATGTACCAAAGAAAAATGGTGAATGAGTCACTCACATGTGATCTTCCAGGGAAGAGAAGGATTCAGTGTAAGAATGTGTCACAAGGCCATCAGACCCCTTCACAGTGAAGGGTAAGAAGTGCCGGTCTTGGGTCAATGTTGTGCATCTGAATGGAGACCAACTGCCAAGTTATGTTGGAGGTCTCAAAGAAAGCATCTGGTCATGGGGTGAATTCACCGTGGTGTCACCTCTGGCAAGAGCAGAGAAATCGTATTTGTTAGCACATCCAGAAGGGATTCATCTCTTAGAGACAGATTTGTATTTATAGGCTTATCACTCATAGGCACTCACATGCTTGCACACATGGTTAATTTATTTATTTACATTGAAAAACATAACTATTACTTAGAAAAAAATCCTTATACTGCAGTACTTTGTAGTTAAGTCCACATAGGAAGCCAAACTCTAGTCCTGAGTTTCCTTGGCAATCAAGGAATCAGAGTAAAGAGTTTTAGATAGATAAAATTCATCTTCACAGTGAGGGAATGTCTGACACCTGGAACATTGATCCTGGGGCCACGCCAGCCTTTCTTGAGGCCAGGGTTTTGAGAAACATTTTAGAGTAAACCTCAGTGATGGTTTTGGGTTGAGCTTGCATTGCTGTTGGACAGAATTTTTCTTTAAATATGTCTAACAGCTTTTGGCCAGCTGATTTCATCTTGAGAGCCATTCTTCCTCCTTAGATGAGTTTTGCATATCATTGTTTTCATGATTATTTACTGATTTTACTAGTCAGTCTCATTTGCCTGCTGTCCAAAGTCTGGGTGGGTGGGGAGGAATGTATCACACTGCTGTCTGCATGGCCTCCTGCAATGTTACCAGGAGTGGGTCTTGTTCAAGCATCTGAAGTCTGCCGTAAGGACTTAAGAAACTTTATGGTTGAGTCTGCACTGGGTTGCCAATTTCTGGCAGTGATATAATAGGGCAGTATGTGGAGTAGTGTAATAATTGTCCTTCTAAACATCCTATAGAAAAACAATAGGGGTGTGTTCTTGACATACCTAATTTTTCTTTATGAATTCATTGTAAATTATTTCTGAAAGTACATGTAATCTTAGCCTGAAATAGATTGAACTTATTTATAGCTTAAGGCTTCCCAGGTGGCTCAGTGGTAAAGATTCCACCTGCTGAGCAGGAGGTGTGGATGGGTTCAATCCCTGGGTCGGGAAAATTCCCTGGAGTAGGAAATGGCAAACCCACTCCCGTATTCTTGCCTGGAAAATTCCATGGACAGAAAAGCCTGGTGGGTTACAGTCCATGGGGTTGCAGAGTCGGACACTACTTAGTGACTAAACAACAATTTACAGTGTTATTATTCCCTTATGCAAAGGAATATGTATTCCCTTGGGAAAAGTCTCTTATGTTGAGTTACCAGCTTTCTTTCAGTTGCTCTAAAACTATATCCTAAAACCTTCGATAGCCCTGTCCTGAGCCTAAGGTATCTGTTTCTCTCTGTTTAGTTGCTCAGTCATGTCTGATAGACTGTTTAAAATTAGAATGTGGCCCCTGAGCTGAAGTTTGTTGATCCTTGTTCTATACCATTATCCTATTGTATTTTCATCTAACTGGTATCAAATTGTCTTATGTAATCATCTCTTTATTTGTTGTCAGTCTTTCCTGAAACACTGTAAGCTCCTTGAAGCTCAGGTTCCTTGTCTTATTCACCATATTATCTCTATCAGTTAAAACAATGACTGAGATATAGAGGTGTGTTACGAATATTTAGTGATTGAGTATATAAATTCAGATAATTCAGGAGCCACTAAATCCAATAATGTCTTCCTTACAAAAATGTCATGTGTAAATCCTGTCCCAGGGGCCACATCCTGCCCAGATCTTTGCCTATTTTAGTATAGATCTTTGTTCCTGTATTTTAATAGTATCTCAAGCCTTCCTGACTCCTTGGCTTTGACTCTAGTCTACCCCCTAGTATAGTAACTTGCTAAAGTATGTTTTGTCTTACATTATTTCTCTGCAAAACCCAACCCTTTCACTGTTTCCCCACTGCCTACATTATAAATCAGACTCCTCAGGTGGACGTTCAGGGCCCTTAATAATCAATTCCCCGCCTGCTTTTCCACCCGTATCTCTGAGCCTTCCCCGGAAGGAGCCCTCTGCTCCAGCAGCCTCGCCATCTCATTGTCCCTGAAGCCATCCCTGAAGCCACGGCTTATCCCCACCTCTGCACCTTTGCTCAAGCTGTGCCTCGTAGCCAGTTGACATTCCCCACAGGAAGGGATTGACCCCCTGGTCAAACGCGGTAAGTCTGCAGTGAGTGATGGGAAACCAGGAAGAGGGAGCTGAGCCTCAGAAAGTGGAAGATGAAGAGTGACTGTGGCCCAACAGGACTCGGTGATAAAGTTGGCCAAGAAGGATGCAGTTATTCTGGGGGAATGATAGAACAAGGCTCCCTGGTAGGATTGGGCTTCCCTGGTGGCTCAGCAGTAAAGAATCCACCTGCCAATGCAGGAAGTGTGTGTTCAATCCCTGCGTCAGGAAAATTCCCCTGCAGGAGAAAATGGCAAACCACTCCAGTATTCTTGCCTGGGAAATCCCATAGCCAGAGGAGCCTGGCGGGCTCCAGTCCATGGGGTTGCAAAGAGTCGGGCACAACTCAGTGACTAAACAATAACAACAACCTGACAGGGTTATCTAGGCCAGTGATTTTCAAACTACTGTGCAGATGGATATTCTGGGAATCTTGTTAAAATGCAGATTCTGGCAGTAGGTCTGGAGTTGGGGACCTGGGATTCTGCATTTTAAAGAGCTCATAGGTGATGCCCGTGTTTCTGGTTCTGGAGTAATTCTTTGAGTTCAAGGATCTCACCAAATGCTCAGAAAAGGAGCCTTTTCTGTAGGACCTGAATGTGAAAATAGGAAGCCAGTGGGTCTGCCCCACAGAGGCTCGTCTAAAGTAAAGACATTTCTTGCATTCTAAATGACTGAAAACATGTGTGATGGCTCAAGGCTTCTTGATGGAGGGGGTGCTGAAGAACCGAGGGCAAAACTGGGTGGGTAAGGCTGTAGCTTAAAGGGAAGAAGCACCTTTAAGTCCTGAGATGGTGGCAGTGACAGTGGCCATTGGGAAGAAGAAAGGTCTAATGTGAGTTGGGCCAGTGGCCTGTCACCACATACAAATGCACGCGCGCGCACACACACACACACACACACACACGACTCATTCAGGGTAAAGGCTGGAGTGCAGCACTTTCCCCCTGATGTAGTCAGATTATCTTTTGTCTCCAAGAGGCACCTCTTCTGATCCACTAACACTTCCAGTTTAGAATCTAGGCTTGTCTTGAGTTCAAGTAATGTAGCTTATCTTAGCTAAGCAAGAGGAATCATATCTGTAATGTGTTATCTACAAGCAGAAGAGCAGCTAGGAGACTGTTTGTCTGGCATAATTCACTTGCCTCTTAGAACAGTTTTTCTTTAATGATTAGCTTGGCTCTTGTCTCTTTGGCTAATCAATAGCTGCCCTCTTGATGAAATTGGGTGTTATTTCCCTGTGACTTAACTTTGTACAAACTGTGAGTTATCTTGATTAATGATTTTAATGGCAGTTCTCTCATCCCCTCTGATTTTATCACACAGGAACTTCTGCTTGACTGACCGAACCGTGACCCTGACATAGAGTCATAATCATGGTAAGTTGGGGATGGGCTTCACCCTCCCTGGTGCCAGCCCCAGACAGGTACAGGTTGTGTAATCAGGGCCTGCTGTCTTATACAAAGGGTTGTTTGCTCAACAGAGGGGAGGGAGGAGGAAATGGAAAGGTAGTTTCTTTTTTTTTTTTTTCCAAAAACACCTTTTCAGGGCTGGTGAGTCACCTGAAACACTGGTGAAACACTCTTTCAGGGCTGGTGAGTCACCTGACCCTGAAAATTAATTCAAAGAGGGACTCCTTTGAATCCTTCTAATATCTTGAGATGCAGAAACAAGTTATTTCTCTCTGCAGAAGCACGATGTGTTCATTGTAGAAACTGTAGGCAAATAAAAAGGAAAAATCCAAAATCCCACCACATTTCCCAGCAGGAGATGACTGCCGTCCACTTTGGGTGCTACCTTATCATTTTAGGCTCATCAGAGTGTGTTAGCTTCTCATCCACCTCCTGCTGCCAGCTGTGGCTGGACTCCTCTGAGCTTCGTTATCTGATCTCTGGGACAGGCAGGGAATTGGATCCCTTTGAGGGTTCCATAAAGCTCCCTACTGATGGGGAAGCTGAGCCGTTCAGCTGCAAATGTGGCCCTATGTGAGGCTGGCCACCTGCTCTCCTTCTCCTGCCCAAATGAGGAGAATGAGAAATGAATGGGCAGGTGATGCTTAATCCCTGGTCTTCTGGGAAGAAATAATAGAAGTAGAATCTTATACCCAGAGAGGACCTGGACATTCTGCCAGCTCTTGATGCCTTCCTTTAGGAAAAAGGAGGTGTAAACTATACAGAACAAATAGTAATATATGTTTAACTTTTGTTTTCATTAGATATTTTAGAATTTTCTTCATCATCCCTGACAGTCAAAGGCTTACTCATGTCTGCACCAAATCTCTTATGCTTTCATGTAAAATCTATTTGTTCTTGATGGGTTCTCCCTGGACGTGTACAACATTTATTCAGACATGTTTATGGTGTCCCTATTTTGTGTGTGGTATTTGGCTCTGGGGACTCAAAATTAATGGATTGCTCTTCCTGTTCTGAACAAGCTCTCAGCCTTTCTACATGTGAAGACTATAACCAAGTGACCCTTTCATGGGCTTTCCACTGAGGAAAATTGCCTCAGTTGCTCTCGTAGATCCTGTTTTCCCATTATGACTATTACTTATTGGACAGATAAAATATGTCTTTATTTTTTTTTAATTATGTCTTTAAAGGAAAGGAAAACCATTTGATATAATAACAGTATTGTAATTCCCTATTATTTTCCATCATTTTAGTTTTAGACCCTACTCATTCAATAGTGGTTTTGAAATAGTAGTAATAAGAACATAAAGAAGAGTTAGTGTATTCACTCTAACCTTTTCTATGCTAACACGTTTATATTACATCTTATAACATATTAAGATTATTTACTCTCAATGGAGTTATGGGTGTTTTGATTTTCTTCTTAATTCTTTTAAAAAATTTTATTGAAGCATAGTTGATTTACGATATCATGTAGTTTTCAGGTATACAGCACAGCTATTCAGATATATATATATATATATATTCTTTTGCCTTATAGGTTATTATATAATATTGAGTAGAGTTCCCTGTGTTTTGCAGTAGGTCTTTGTTGGTTTTCTGTTTTACACATAGTGGTGTGTATATGTTAAATCCAACCTCTTAATTTATCCTTCCCCTTCCCACTCAGATTTTCTTCTTAATTTTTAAAAAATTTTTTCCAAGTCTCTACAATGACCATATGATCCATTTCTAAAAGGAAAGCATGTTTTAAAAGCCACTGTTGTCATATATCTACAAAAAATTTTCAAAGGTATAATTTACGTGTAGTGAAATGCACAGCTCTTATGGTTACTGGTAGATGAGTTTTGACAAATGTACCATGTATCTGCCCTCTTCTTAAGATAGAACATTTCCTCACTTCAGGAAGTTCCTTCATGCCCCTTCCAGATCAGTCTCCTCCCTGTTCTCCACTCCAGTCTGGAAATACAATCACTGATCTGATTGTTTTTATCATAGATTAGTTTTGCCTGTTCTAGAAGATCCTATAAATGGAATCACAGAGCGTCTACTCCTTTTTATGAGCATTGTATTTTTTGCAGTCCACCCATGGACTGCATGGTGCTATATCAACAATTTGTTCCATTCCTTTTTACTGCTTACATATTTCTTTGTATCATGTTCCAATCTTTTGACATTTATCATCTTCATTATTATTTTAATAACTGAGTAACAGTTCATCGATTGTGATACAATACCGATTTCTAGCTATTTGTTTTCATCATTCTTCCCCACATCCTCTGTTCCCTTTCCCTGTTGCCGTGAGGAGCCTTCCTTGGGGGGAATCCCCTGCCTTCCCTGAACAGGTGATGATACATTATGCCTTGGAATTGAATCAATATGGATACTTCAGAGCTAACAGGAACAAATTTCCCCAGCTTATCTTGTTCCTGAAAAAAAGAGTCCCTAGGAATGCTCACAAATAAGCTACCTTTGCATGGTCCTCTGTCCATTCATCTTGTTAGATATTAATTTTAATCCCGTACTAGGTACCCACCACAGTACTTGCCTGGAGAATTCCATGGCCAGAGGACCCTGGCAGGCTATAGTCCATGGGATCGAAAAGAGTTGGACACATCTGAGTGACTAACACTTCCTTAGTGTCCGTCAGCAATGCAGTTTGCTTTAAAGGGCAGTGTTTGAATACCATCCAAAATTCTTTCAATATCGGAATTCCGAAAGAACCTTGTGAAACATTCAACTCAGAAAGCTGTCTCCAGCGGGGGTCAAGGGCTGAGCTAGGCCGTTTAGAATTTTGACAGCCAGTCACCAACTTGCTTGTTACTATTGACAGATAGTAGAAGAAAACAGGTAATATGCCTGCATTAATTTCATATGGCTGCCATAACAAAGTGCCACAAACTGGGTGGCTTAAATTGATAGAAATTTGTTGTCTTATGTTTCTGGAGGGTGGAAATCCAAAATCAAGGTATTGGCAGTGCCAAGGTCCCTCTGAAATCCAGAGGGGAATTCTTCCTTGCCTCTTTCTAGCCTCTGGTGGTTTGCTGGCAATCTTAAGCATTCTTCAGCAGAGACTGGAGTCAACAACATGTCACCATGTGGCTTCTCCCTGAGTGTCTTTGTCTTCATGTGCTGTTTTCTAAGGACATCATTCATGTTGAATTAGCAGCTTACCCTTGTACTCCAGTAGGACCTCGTCTTGATTTATTATAATTGATTAATTAATTAATTTAATGACAATATTTCCAAATAAGGCTGAGGTACTGGGGGTTAGGACTTCAACATACCTTTTTGGGGGGAAGCAATTCAGTGCCCAAGGAAGTTTTTAAATTTTTATTTTATATGGTTTTTGGCTATGCTGGGTCTTTGTTGGGTATACAGGTTCTTTGTTGCTGTGCGGGCTTTCTCCAGTCGTGGAAAGCAGGGGCTACTCTCTAGTTGCGGTGCACAGGCTTCTCTTTGCAGTAGTTTCTCTTGTTGTGGGAGCACAGATTCCAGGGTACATGGGCTTCAGTAGTTTGGCACATGGGCTCAGTAGTTGTGGCACATGGCGTGTGGCATCTTTCAAAACCAGGGATGGATGGAACCCATGTCCCTTGCATTGGCAGGTGGATTCTTAACAACTAACCAAGGAAGTTAATGTCATTGATTTCTCTTTTTCTCAGTCAAGTGTAGAAAAGTGATGAGTGTTAGAAGTTGACCATATTCAGGAGGTGAAAGGCTGGTCTTCCAGCAGATAAGACCCACACCCTCTGGGACCTAAAGCCTTTGGATGGGCTTGATGTGGACCACAGTGGGCATGAGAAGTCCAGCTTAAGGTGGACTAGCTCATAGAGCTCAAGTCTGACTTGCTAAAGAACTGCCCTATGGGTATAAAAATCCTCCATGCCTTTACAGGCCACATGTACATCCTTGAATCAAATTAAAGAGAGCCTTAGATCTATTTTACATTGTTTTTGCCACCATGTACAATGCTCTATTCTAGATTTTTCTTTGACATTACCCCATTGGCTTGCATTAGGGATATTATCAGAAACAGATATAAGAATCTCACTATTATATTTATTGTAGAAATGTTACTGAGGTCATGTTGAATTATACTGATGAGACGCTCAGGCCACTGAGTTGAGTTTTTGGTTTCGTATTTACTGTTTGTACTAAGTGTTATGCTGTATTATCCTCCTTCGTTATTACAACAGCCCTGTGGATTGGTATCATTATTATTCTTAACATACAGGTGAGGAAAATGAAACTTCTCCTAGACTACAGAGTTAGGACGCATTGAAGCCAGGAGTCCAACCTGGATCTGTTCAACTCCAATGCCTGTGCTCCTTCCCACTGAGCTTACTACCTCTCAAAATACGCCCACCATGTCTCCTTCACAGAGACCTACAGGTGAAATTTCTCCCAATATTAGGATTCTCTTTACAGAATTCATGACCCCCAAGTGATGCAGAGGAGATGGATCTGTCTGTCTGCATGAATCTGAGATTTTACTGGAGTCATGGGCACCAGGCTGTGGGGGTGCCTTTCAACCAAGGCTTATATAAGATGTAAAACCCTCTCCCTTTGCATTAATTCATAGTGATGTCCCTAGGCTGGTCTGTGCTGTCACCATAACATCCTCCCACTGGTAATTTGGTAATTCTACCATTTGCCAAAAGAAGCATTATCGGAAAAGTCAGAAGAAACCTCTGTATGACCTCAGCCCTAAATTTAGCCTTGGCGATCTCTTCTTACTCTCAGCTTGTGAACTCTTAGCATCTTAAAAGCACATAACACCCATTATGAGCAGAGCAAGGTTTCCAGATGAATCTGAACTCCACTGCCATCTGGGAACCATGGATCTCAGGCAGATCCTCTCCCATCTGCTGTCTCCACCAATCAGATGCACATCACAGTGGCGCACGCCTGACAGATGAACTAAGGGAAAGGGGATGACACAGAACAATTTTTGGAAGTGCTGG